TTGTTGAATATTTTATGTGAAATATCTATTTTATTTATTTAAATGTCTTCTTCACATTTTAGTTATAGTTTTTATTAAATTCTATAATTAAGGTGTGAATCACGTCGTAACCCAAGGTTTTGTAAATCCGAGGGTTGGGGTGTGACACTCTCTCTCTCTCTCATGCTCAGTTCACACCAAGCAAAGCCAAACCAAGCATCATCAAAAATCACAAATAGAGTTCGATGATGGATTAGTCCCTTTCACGAGACCCTCTCCTATTTACTTCTCCTTTTCTTCACAAGCTCTCCACTTTCTTGCATTTCTCCCTCCCTAAATTTTTTGTCTTTTTGTTTTTCACAATATATTGTTCATCATCTGACTTTTTTCAAGAACATAAGCAGTGCTACTACATAGAAATCAATTGCAACTTGGCTACTCCAGGAGATGAACTTTTTAGAAAATTGGAGAGCTAGGAGATGGATTTGGAGGGTGTATGCAGAGGTGGCAGAGAATTGGTGTTCAAGGGGAGTGGGAGAAGTCTTTGGATACTTAGGTTTTATAAAAATAAAAAATTGTGTTAGTTTACAAATTTTTAATTTGCATATTATAGTGAATTGACAAAAATGCCTTTAAAATATTGATGTAACGGAAATTTTAACAGAGTTAGAGATAGGTGATAAATTACAACACTTGACAAAGTTCAAATGGTTAAAAGTAAAAATTAAAAGTTTAGGTGATATTTATACAAATTTCTCTTGTTATTATTTACCTTAGCTTGTATTCCCATAAACAACATTAAATAATGAGTTAAAACAAAAGCGTTCAAGGGGTAAAAATAGGAGCACGCAAAAATTAACTAATGGGAATGATAAATATTGACCGACTCATCATCTCGTTATGGTATGTTTGTTGACGTAGAAGGCTAGTCATTAGGTTTACATGAAAAATCAAAGAGTACGTGCGGGTTTTTCCTAATAAACCCTAGAACATTTGGATTTCTAACTAATTTTCTGATAAAGAAAAGCCTAGTAGTTAGGAAATGCCAACCACATGGTACAGGGGCGGCCCTAGGGTGGTGCAAGTGGTGCCACCGCAGAGGGCTCCCGATTCTTAAGGGCCCCTGAAAAAAAAAATTCTTTATATTATATATATTAATATTGTAGGAATTGTATATATACTATAGTGTGCTAGACATTTGCAAAAAAGCGTCTCTGGTGGAGTTGGCTCCAGCGCTTCTCCATTTAATGAAGCGCTAAAGTTCGAATCTTGTTGAAGGCAATCTATTTGCCGTTTTTATATTATTTTTGCATTATAACTAAAAAGAAAAGAAAAACTTTACATAATCATTAAATAAATAAATAAACAATTAAGGAAAAAAAACATAAAGCCTATAAATAAGAGCAACTCCACCCATTTGCCCCTTGCTAGTTAGGGCAGCCACTATTCAAGTGAATAGTGGTTGCCCTTGCAAATAGTATTGTGTTTCCACTTGTTGCCATGACAAAGGGCAATTACTATTCTGTTTTTTTTTTTTCAAAAATTTGTTTACCTAAACAATTAATTTGGATAATATTTTTAGTTTCGTACGTGTCAATATTTATTATAAAATTCATATCTCAATCGGATAAAATTTTGGTATTTATAGAAGAAAAAAAATCATTAATTTTTTGGTTTTTTTTTATAAAAAAATCGATTTTTAAATTTTTTTAATTGCACAAAAATTGGCTGCCGTTGGATTAGAGAAAAAAATCTTATCAGAGAGCCCAGAGTGGGACACGTGGACTTTAGCAAGTAGCACTGTAGCAGTAAGCGGTACTGTAGCGCTGACGTCAACACCAAAACGAGGGCTGGAGCTCGGGCCAACCTTGCCCTCGGGCCAGCCCAGGTTTCTGGGACCCACTCCCAGCTCGAGCTTGGGCTCCTCGCTGGAAACAAATTTTGGCAAAATTTTCCCCCAGCTCGAGGCTCGGTGGAACCGCTGGAGTTGCTCTAAAAGGAAACATTGAAGCTAACCACAGGAGGCCTGAAAAAAAAATAATAGAAAAAAGCTAACTACAGGAGGAGTGTATATATCCCCCAAACACTTTCTACTCCTTACGTATCAATCGTTCTTAAAAACAAAAAAAACAAAAAAAAAAGATTTCTCCTCTAAGAAAAGTACTTTCTTCATTCAAAACAAAACAAAAAAACTTCATGGCTTCTTCTTTCTGTTAAACTCTGATTTTTTGGTAAGTAATCATCATCATTCATCAATCTGTCTTTGGTTCTTTTTTCAATCCTTTGACAATTTTTGTTATTCTTTCAATTTTAGGAATTTCAACACCAAAAAGAGAAAACCCTAATTCATAAATTCATAAATACCACTCAAAATCAAATAGTCAGATTCAAATTTCAGGAATTTGTGTGCAACTATTCTTTAATTTGTGATTACCAATTGTTTTTCCTATTAAACACAGATTACTTATTGGAGGCAGCAAGGGACCTTGTAGGGGCACAATGAGCTTCTTTTTGTAGCAAACATTTAATTTTATCAAATAGAAACATTTAAAGTTTTATGAATTTGATTTCTAATTGTCATTACATATTTATTCATGGTGACTTTTAGTTATAAAAAAATTATTTATGACATTAAGTTATGGCAAATTTTTTATTTATTTTATTTTCGTATTAGATGTGTGGCTCTAATTTAAGTTTCGCACAGGGTCTTCAAAATCTCAGGGACGGCCCTAACATGGTGAAGAGACTATTCACTATGATGGCATGACATGTTCTTCGAAGTGTGTTTTGCGAGATTTTAAGAACATATTCACTTATTTGGGGTTGTGATAATTACTGTGTGTTGAATAGCATGAACTACAACTGGTAGGTTTATACTGGAGGATTACAAATGTAAAGTTCTTACGGTATCAAGGCTTTCAATTATTATTATTGGGTTATTGGAGGAAATTAAACTTCAAAAGCAAAATTGTGTAGGTTAGAAAGAAGCGATGAGTTTCCACAATTTGGTGGTCTTGTTCTCTCTTAATCCAGTCTTGAATATGTCAAAATGTAACCAGTTTTCTGCGCCTTGTGTAACTAATTCAGAGGCACTACCCTTTCATTAATCCGCCAAAATTAATAAATAATTATACACTCGGTACTCATCTAAGTAGCTTTGAATCCTGGAAAGGGGTTGTGCGCCAATGCTTTGGTTATCAACACACATGGCCTTCATTCTCTCTCATAATGGTCGGGATTCATTTTCTTGTGATGGTTAAATCATCAAATCAACTAGCTAAATAAACTCATCATGGATCGAATTAAACCCACGGAACCCAAATCGTTCTAAATCATCCACACAACTAATTGAAACGAAATTCATGATCAAGCGTTGTTCTTCTATCCACATAAAAATGAAAATAAAATAGGAGAGCCAAAAGAACAGCATGACCTACTTGGAGATGGAGCTCTCGACTCGAAAGTGAAGAGCATGAGCTACTATTACTAACTCTGATTTTTCTTCAATTTGCGCGTGTTTATTAACATACATTTTGGATTAGTTATTTATAAACTTACTTGTGATTGAATGAGGCGAGTTAATATGATAATTAAGAATATAATACTATCGTATGATTTAAAAAATATATACACTAAGGACTTAAAATGAAGGGATAATTTTTTTTTATCGTTTTTCAGAAATTAATACAAAATGATACAATAGAGACTTTAAATCGAGGGATAATTTTTTTACTGTTTTCAGAAATTTATAAAACTCTTGGGCCTGAAAAGAGTACGGAAAAAATCCATTACAGAGATAAATGGGCTCACTATAAAGGTGAAATTTTATAGAGAGGGTGCCATATATGGATTCCTTATGTGAACCTTTATATTAGCTACATGATCATTTCATTAAACTTAAGTGAAGTTCCTACTTAGAGGAATTATGTGGCTAATATAAAGGTTCGCATATATGGTCCATATATTCACATTCACTATAAAACAACCCTACCATGAAGACAATCTGACCAAAATCAGCCATTTTAAACAGAAAACAAAAGGCCCAAATGAAAATGTATAAATATCTATAATTTGTTAAGCTGTTTCATTGCTGGTTTTATTTTGAATGAAATTTCTATTTTACCAAAAGAAAGTGACAATGTTTCTAGTTGTGCTTGTGTTATACAGATTTTGCTTCGGATTTATTAATATAAAATAAATAGAACTTTCAAATTGTCTACTTTTCGAAGAGCAAGCTTGCCTCCTTGATATTAAGGAGGAGCTCATCTTCCAAACAAATTGGATTTTAACACTTGCGGAAAATTTCAAAACAAAGAAAGTTAAAAGAATTAAAATAGAAAGTTAAAAGAATTAAAATCAAAAGTTAAATGAAATTAACAACTGTTAAAATCCCATTTATTTCGAGGAGCCAAATTTTTTCCCTTGAAATCAACTTTTCTCGGTTAACATATTTTGTGACTTTAAAAATAGGTTCTTCAAAGCATTTCACATTTTTATGACTTTCTCAAGAACCAAACACACAACCTCACATTTCACTCCCTACAAAAAATAGTTTGAATAAAAAATATATCAATAAAAATAGGGTTTAGGAGTGTTTTAGAAGCCTTAGGAACAACTTAGAGATGTTAGAATGGTTAGAAACAACTTTGAACCAAATCTGGAAATTTGCATTTTCTGGAAATTTGCAGTCCACGAGACTCATTTTGGCTTTCTTTTTCTCCCAATCCTTTGCATTTTTTAGGAAGCCATTTGGATTTTAAACTAGACTTTGCAAGGAACAAAACACAATTAGAATTTGGTTGAGTTTTGATACGTCAAACACATGTGCAAAGTTTGGAAAAAAATCTGTTTTCTGCAGAAAAACAACAACGAGTACAACTTTGGAGCTAGTTTTCTCCTTCATTTTAGCTCCGTTTTGAGTATGGTTTATTGGTTAGAAACTAGAGAGAATAAGCTTCAAATCCACTGCAAGTTTGCCCAGTTTCGTTAACTTCAGGTTGGTCAAACTATCTCACAAAATCTGACATTTAAACTGAAAAACAGGGGAAGTTGCAGGATTTTTTTAAGACGATGAACAGTAATCGGAAACAAGCCCACTCGCGGCTCCGGCGAGTGGCTGCGTGTGGAGCCTGTTCTGGTATCCTCTGACGCCATATTTTTAGTCCATCCGACTCGATTTCTCTATCCGAGTCCGATGGTATAGGTTTCGGATCGTTTTGAAGGGTTTAGCTTGGATAGTGGGGTGCACTCTCTATGTTAGGAGAGAAAAATATTTTTATAAAATTAGATTTTTCTAACTTCATTTATGTTATTTATTTTTCAAATCTAGGAATAGGAGAGAACCCGGCAACCTTCGAAGGGTAATTTTATCATTTAGCTTCTTGAACACGAGGTAAGGTTTCTTGATTCCCGATGATTGGGTTATGTTACTTTTAATCTTGGTGCTTATATATAATACTATAAATATGAATATTATTGTTGTTTTACTTGGTGAATATTATTTTTAATGTTGGATGAATATTATTATTCATGTGATCAAGCATGATATATATTATTGTTATTATCTGTATTATTATTCAGCATAGATAAATGATGTTTGCGCTGCATTATATATGCATCATAAATACAGTGGTGTTAAGGGGGTGTGTGTGTCATTTGACGTATATCTAAGGGGTGAGAGAAAGCCTTAGATATATCTGAGTAAATAAAAATGTAGAATATATTCAGGTGATGGGAGCATGGCTTGAATATATTGAGGTGATTGGAGCAGGGCCTCTAATGAAAAATGAAAGTTGAGAAATTCGTAAACAAAAGAAAACTAGGTTAAGGAACGGATGAGCTCTAATTCATATTTTAGGATATTCGGAGCCACAGTAGTAAAATGCATGGTATGAGACATGCAGGCTTGTTGCTCTAAGATATGAATTAGTGGGATTAGAAGGGAGTGAGTTCATGGCATCACTGCATATGCAAATTTATTTATCTAGTATGGTTGGATAATTTCTGTATCTTGTATTGTTTGATACTTGACACTTTGATTAACTGTGATAGTTGACCTTGAGGGGTTTGACGGTACTCTACTGGGCATTAGAATACTCATACCCTAATAGATTGTGCAGGATTCAAAGCGAAGTTTGAGAAAGTGGGTTTCAACCAAGCTATTAGGCTTTTATTGTTGATTTGTGTAATTAACATTTGTAAGTAATCAACCGTTTGATAAAGATCTTAGTGTGTATTTAACTACGAGTTATTGCAACTCTAATTCTGTGTTGTTAAGTAAATTTATATTAATTTGTAGCTCTTTTTCTCATCATATCATGGTTGTAGAATTTTATTCTTATGACTATGGTACGACTCACATCTTGATTCGGGAATATTTCTTATTTTCGAATCGGGTCGTGATAGACCCAGACCCATCCCATTCCCTAGTCTTGCCCCCTTAGTCGAGACCCATCCCACGACCCCATCTATGTGTGAGATCCACCCCTAGACCACCACCCAAGGCCACCATACAACCACCTCCATCGAGAGAGAGAGAGAGAGAGAGAGAGAGAGAGAGAGAGAATATTAATTTTCTGTTATTTATTTATTTTTAATGTACTAAATGACTTTTTTACCCTTATTTTTAATGGTAAATTGGCAAAAAAAAGTTCACATTCTTAATTTTCTATTAAAAAAAAAGAATAAAATGTAAATCAAAAGTTATGTACAAATTTAGAGAGCAAATCGCGAATTAACCCATAAAAATAAAATAAAAAATGAATTGGCTAGGCTAGTAATTATTGAATTTCAGTTTATGACAACAACAAAAAACTGATTTATTGTAAAAGGCTTCTCCAATAATTTTCACATCCGTAGCCACTCAACTGTTACACGTGTCCCTCAAAGTCCCCTCCCACCGTTGATTAGGTTAATCGGTCAAACTCGTTCTCGAAGCCACCCAGTGATTGGCTGTAACACAACAACCAGTAACCGTCGGGTAATGGAGTCTGGCCCCAGATGCTGTCGTCTAGCGACTCGTAACAAGCCACTTGTCGATCCCATACTCATCAGACATTAACCAATTTACGAAAATGCCCCAGTTTTCCAATTTTCCGTTTAATTTTGATTTTTCAAATTCAATCACCAATTCTCACATTTTCTCTCTCTGAAAGAAAAGTCGAGGGGTCGAGCGCAGAGGAAAAGAAAAAACAACCGAAAAAAAAAAAAGACAGAGTCTCACTCACACTCTTCTCTCCTTTTTCTCTCTCTTCGTGTAAGTCTCTCACTCTCTTCGTCTGTAGCGCCGTCGATTCGCCGGAACCCTAATTCGATCCGCCGGAAACTCGAACACTCCGGTAAGGAACTCAAAACCTCCGGCGACCGTTCGCTTTCGTTTGTTAGGGTTTTCAATTTTCTTCGCTGATGCGTAGTTATCAACTAGGTGAGGGGTGTCTGTGAGAGAGACTAACGCCTAGGGTTTTGGTTTGCAGATGACCGTACGATTGGGGAACAGTTGAGAGATCAAACGGGCTGGATTTCGTCACCGGATGGAGGGAGGTAGCGTCTCTAGACTTCTTACTTCTTCTGGTACTGTTCATTTCCTCTATTTGGTTCTGTAAACAGTTAGGGCGTATGTGTAAAATTAGGCCAAAGTTGTTCCTTGCTTTGCTTTGAAATGGTGAGTTTGATTAAAATTTGTGTTTTTGTTTTCCTTTGTGTACTTTGAGCTAATTAGAAATGACAAGCGTTAATCTTTGAATTTATGATATGAAGTGTATGTATTTGTTTTCATATCTTTTTTAAGTCCTCAATGGCGTACTGAGTTAAATTTTATTGTTTTATGATAAGATATTATTCAACCTATACTTACTATAGTGTTAATAAAGGTGGATTTTTGTCCAGGTCATGCGTGTTTTGAAAAATAAAAACATCTGAATGTCCAGTTGCAAGTTTAACACGCATTTTCTCATTTTCAATTATTTGAGTTAATTAATAGCTGCTAGATATTCAGAAACTTAATATTGAATGTAGGTATAGTTTTCTGCTATTTTACCTTTACTTAGTATGCTGTCTCATGTCCTTTGGTACAAATGCAAGAAATTTTGAAACTTTTAGGATTTCTCGAGGTCAGTGAGTATGTATTTAGTTATGATTAGTGTTTGTTGCATAGCCTCAGCTATTCCTTATAATAATTTTATTATTATTGTTTGAGTTAATTTTTGAATGATATCTTGGAGCTTACCAATTGACTATAATTTCTGAAAATGGAAATAGAATCTTACCATTTATTCTTGTATAATTGAACCATTTTTCTGCATTTATGGGAGGAGTGATATCCGATGTTATAAAAAGTGCCTTGACCTCCCTTTTTTGTTATTATTTTTACTTTGGTTTGCGAGTTGATATTCTTAAAACATAAACTTTCAAGTATCTTGTCTGCATAAATAAATTTGTATCTAAATGTTTACACAAGATTCTATTAAAAAAATGTTTACACAAGATAATAGGGCATGTATGATTTGATTCGTTATAATATGTGTGTTATCTGTTAATCACATGGTGCATGTATGATTTGATTTGGTTTGATGCATTACTTTTCTTATTTTGTCTTTGAAAAAAAATGTAAGTAGACGATTCATTTATTCATTATTGACTACGTTTTAAACATGCTTTTGTGTCAAGAAGTTTGTCTGATATGTTATTCTGAGCATTTTTCTGTGTTAAAGTTTGTAAATACTTGATTATAAATATTTCTTGAATATATAAAGGTTTATTTTCCAGGTAAATAGTATAGTCATCAATCCTTGATTTATTACATGAAGAGGCAACTCCTATATATATATAGGCAATCCTTGAATTGAGTAGATTGGCGTTCATTTGAATGCTGGGCACCTTTGTTGTGATAAAGGTGCTGATATTTATATATTAATATTAGATGCTGTTACCCTTTATTGATATCTCAAATCAATGAATGATTTGATTAAGGTATTTGCTGGGTTTGCTTGGCTGTTGTTATGTGATGCCTTCATCTCTGGTATACTTTAGTATAATTCACAAAATCATATCATGGTACTTTCCCCTTAAATTTAAGAGTTTTGGGAACTATTGAAGTTCAGCATTTATAACTTGGTTGTGGTTTTGTTATCTGTTCAAAGTTAGTGGCATTATATTGGAAAGTCTCACTGAAAGTATTGAGAAATTGTGAGTTTAAGCATAAATGGGGAGAACGGCTAGGCTCTACAAATGGTTTGAGGATGATTAGCTGTTTGATGAGCAAATGGCTGTAGTGGATTAAGATTCTTTTCTTGTGTAGTGATTGCATTTTGACAATTTTACTTGTTAATAATTGTGGTGTTTAGATATAATTTCGTGGGTTATGTTTCTCAGGGTCTGAATAGGTTTAATTATATCAAAATCGACTTTAGGGACAACCTTGTTTCTGTTTTATTATTTTGGAGTATTACATGACTCCTATTTCAAGTTATAGGTGTATGTTGTATTTGTGGTTGGTTATCAATTTTTGTAAGCATGGGTGACTAGGTATTATTGGTTTATTCTGTAAGATGGTGGGTATAAAGCTTGTAGATTGTCCCATATAATGTCTATGTATATACTTGTGCATATTTTTGTCTCTCCCTATATTAGCTATTTGGTCAATGTGGATCACTATTTGTTTTGCACTTCTCCCTGATTGCTTTTCTATTGTAGGGATACACCCATGGATTATGATGACAATGATTTTCAAAGCCAGAATCTTCATTTAGCTGGTGAAGGGAACACTAATTATCCTCCAGTTTTACGGCCATATGCTCTTCCCAAGTTTGATTTTGATGATAGCCTTCAGGGGCATTTGAGATTTGATAGTCTGGTTGAAACTGAGGTTTTTCTTGGCATTGAGAGTAGCGAAACTAACCACTGGATTGAGGATTTCTCTCGTGGGAGTAGTGGGATAGAGTTTAATTCAAGTGCAGCAGAATCTTGCTCTATATCAAGGCGAAACAATGTTTGGTCTGAGGCCACTTCCTCAGAATCTGTTGAAATGCTATTAAAATCTGTTGGGCAGGAAGAAATTATTCCCCCTCGGACTATCTTTGAGGAATTAGATGCCTGTAAGGAATTGCGTTGCTTAACAAAGCAGATGGAGCCTAGTTTTAACAATGATGATAACATTCTTTCTCAAATGGAGGATGTTACAGATCTACAGCCTACATTACCACAGGATGATATTCCCGAAAACCTTTCTGGCATAGAGGATGTAGGAGTAGATCAGCTTCAGGTTGAGGATGCTTCACAAACTCATGAAGGTAAATTATCAGTTGCTGGAAATTCAGGCGACTCAGATCCAAATGCTTTAAGTGGAAATCATAGCCCACATGTAACTAAAGGGAGTCTGCTTGCTGATGGGAAATGCAAAGATGCAGATCCGGTGGATTTTGATAATTTGTTTGATGAAACACCAGATAAAAGAGAAGATTCTTGTGCTTCAGGGATGCAAATTGATGTTATGACAACCTCTGTGCAAAATATTATGGCTATCGGTGATGAGTTGAATAATAAGGATGTCCAACATAATATAAAAAATGTTAATGAAGAGAATCCAGGCGGTCATGTGTTGAGCATAGAGACACAAAACATGAATGAAAAAGCAGGTGAAAAGGTTACCTGTCATTTGGAAAACCCACATTGTTCAGCATCTGAGGTGGAGTCTATTGAATTAGGAATTGCTAATCAAGACAGTGTTATTAATGTGGAGGAACAGTCTAATGTAATACTGCAAGGGGATTCTAACTTACATATGCTGGGTGGATGCAGTGACAGGGTATATGGTGGAGTTCTTGCTGACACCAACAAATGTGAAGACATGGTCTCAGATATAGGTATTGATCAATCAAAATTAAACACGCATGATTTATCACCTATAGCTTACAAAATCGATACTGGGTATGCAGTTGAGGTTAGCAACAACAATGCTGAAATTTCTTCAAGTCTAGAACCTACGCTGAAAGGGGATTCTGACTTACATATGGTGGATGGATGCAGTGACAGGGAATGTCGTGGAGGTCCTGCTGAGACCAACAAATGTGAAGATATGGCATTGTTTAAAGACACAGATACTGGTGATGATCATTCTAAATTGAACACAGATGATTTATCATCAGTGGTTTACAGAAGCGATGATAGGTATGCAGTTGAGGTCAGCAACAGCAATGCTGGAATTTCTTCGAGTTTAGATTCTATGCTGAAGGTGGATTCTGGACTGAGCAGCCCCAAGGAGAATGCATCAGAAAGTAGTTTCCGACCAGATAGTGAAATTTTGGTCAAAAAGTCCGAGGTTTCTTTGTCAGTCATTAAGGAAAATGATGTTTCTAAGGATGAAAGTGATGAGAATAAGGAAGTTCACTCTAATTTGTCTAATTTGACTGCAACTTGTTCTTCAGCTGAAATAGTTAGTGAAGCGCATGTGACTGGAGCTTCTAAAAGTCCTCATGATTCTTTTGGAGTTTCTGGAGAGAAATCAAATGTGGACGGTGCATCATTTTCTATTCTGGGGGAGTCTACACAAATATGTGATGAAAATGAAGTTTACAGAGATGGTGATGTTGGTGATGGTAACCTGGATCTCTCTCACATTGAAAAGGACAGTACACAATTGTTCAATGAGTCTAATAATACAGAATTGGAGATTGGTGGATCTGTTGATAAGGAATTTCAGCCCTCATCAGTTTGTGAAGGTAGCGCAGAAAAAGAGCAGATTGTCCCAAAATTAAAACATGGTGCTGATGGCAATGAATCAGGTATGTTATGAGATTGAAACTTTAAATGGATAGAGATGTAAAATCCGTTGAATGTACTAACTTGGTCTGTCTGTCTCTCTCTCTCTCTCTCTCTCTCTCTCTCTCTCTCTCTCAGTGGCCAATGTTTCCTTGGAAAACCCTGATCTGGCTTCTTGTGTCACAATGGATGCAGTTCCCTCGTCTTCTGGGAATGGCACAACCACCAATATTAACCACTCAGAGGTTGAAGCAGAGACTTCTCCCGATGTGGGACCACACTGTGACAAAAAACAAGAAACTGCATATAAAATGTCGAAAGATGCTAGTTTTCCATGTATAGTGTCATCTCCTTTGGCAGAAATTGGGCCTGGCTCTGTTTCTGAAGTGGGGAAAGGTGTTTCTTGTGATACTTCTGGACCGTTATTATGCAAGGGAGTTGATCAGTCTCTGCCAGTTACAGATAGTTGCAATACAGAATGCCAAAATGAACCTCAAACTGCAGTTGCTACTGAAGTGAGCAAGAGAAGCACAAATGAGATGGAAGCGTCTTCTGTTCAGTGTGAATCTTCAGAAAATGTTGGTGATGGTGCTGGAGCAACCATAAAAGACAGTTTTGAGAAGGCATCTGCAAATGTAAAAGGTGATAAATTTGCATTTATCTGTCACCATTCCGTCTTTCCTTTGACTAGAAACCATTTAGAGTTGAAAAAGTATAAGGCCAGTGCAAGTTATCTTTTTGGTATAATCTTTGGCATGTATTACGTCTTACATCTTTTGAAGTTGACAGTTTCTATCTGTATGGGTTGGACTGACTTTCGTCACTATTAAGCAATCTGTGCTCAACTTGACCCCTGGTCCTTTTTCATAAGTTACAAATGCTAATAATGTGGTTTGAACCTAGGACCTCCTGGAGAAATCTACAGCTTCTAACCATTTTTTTCTTTTTTTATATGTTATTTTTGTTGATTTTGCAATCATTAACTTTTTTCCTTACTATTTTCTCTTCATTTGTATATTGATGTTTTAAAATGATTTCTACTGTTATGCAGATCCAATTATGAACTGTGATACGAATGTCACACAGCCTGGGCCTTCACTATTGGTGGAAATATGTGGTGGTTCTGCTAAAAAATTATTGGAAGACATTGACACTTCTGAAGTGTCTGGAGATAAGGGTTCTGCACAGGATGCTGTGCCAAGCATTAATAGTGAGTCTTCTAATATGGTTAATCTTGAATGACTTATCAAAGTAACAAAAAAGATAAACCTGGAAGGAAATATGGATGAAAATTTGAAATTTCTATTTGTTTCTGCCGTAAACTCTTGTATATTCTGCTGCAATTAGGCAATGGCAGGTAGAATGGCGTTCAGGTTTATTTATGGTTTGCTAGAGTCATTCTGTTTCTACGTGCTGGCCTGGTTCATGATTTTTGGGCTTTTGAGTGTTCATGGGATTGGTATGCTAGATTTGGATAAGCTGTGTTAGAATCTTTTAATTTTACATTTTTAGGAAGTAAAAGACTAATTTTGAGGTTTTGTACAGTCTGGTTGGAATGGTACTTCTTTTCTAGGAAAGCAAAGAAATAGAAGAGAATTTATAAATGAAATTTTTAGATACAGTATTCGGGCGGAGCTTTCGGGTTGGGGGGCGGAGGTGGGGAGGGGGGAGAACAAAAGCGATATGCAGTATTTAAGCTTCTTTTTTTGGGCTGCAGTGTTTAAGCAAATTTGGAAAGCTTGAGTGATGCATTTCTATACCTTGTTCTTTCTTTTATCAAATATTAAGAATGATTCATATTTGTTTATTATATCCTTTATATATAATGTGTATGAGGCAGATAAAAACATAAGGCCTAAAAGGATTAGAAGGAAAAGATAAGGGTACCACTATGCTTAGTTGCAATAAGAATAAGAAATATGCTTATTAATGCAAATGAAATTGAAGAATCATGTATATTGTTGTAAACCTATCAAATTCATGTCGGCTCTAGATTATCAAGTGTGATATCATACTAGTCTACTTTTTTTTTCTTTGTTAGCTGAAAGATTTGATTGTGATGTATGAACTCTTTAAGATGTGTCATGTTGGTCTTGGCGATAGTCAAATTTCTGCATTAGAGAGTAAAATCACAAGCAGATTGAGAACACCTATTTATGAAAATCATGATGCAGTTTCTGTACTGAATAGTTATCATGGTTATGGGTGCACCATGCATTTTATTCTTTCTACCAATTAGTACTTAGAATAAATATCTCACCATTGGAACGAAAATGATGGAGGCTATCATTATTGGCATTTAATAACAAGGATCTATTATGATAATTTCTTTTATTTATTTATGTTTTTGAATCATGTTTCCATTTGACTATAGGATATACGGTTGTTACTTCCACTTCTTGGTTTAATTTTCTTTGCTGATCATCATCTTTCGTTCTACAGGTGATGCTTCTATGATCTGTGAAGTTTCTACTTGTTCTGCTGCTTTGCCTGAGTCTCATACTGAGTTTGTTGCACCAGAAAGCGGTCGAAGTTCTGTTGATCCCCACAAACCTAATTGTGTTTCTCCTAAGGTTGTTGGAACCACTGAGCCTTTTGAGACTAAACATGAATTAGGCAATAATAAGGAGCCCACAAATCAGAGTGGCCCAGTTTCTGACACTGTTGGGGATGGGGGCAATTATTCTCCTAATTCCCGGAATCCAAATGGAAATGATGCCTTCCAGGATCAGAGAAATGGAACTTCGGATGTCAGCTTATCTGCAGATTTGCCTAAAGCAGATGCTGCCAACATCGTGCAGCGCTCTCCTGCTATTCCATCTCCCAAAGTATCATTTTTAACCTTCTTGTTACTCATGTTCATACTGAACTATACTTGTGTCTTTGATCCCTTATATTGCTTGATATGCGTTTTTAACTAGGGCAATGGGGATACTTTCTATAGATATATACTCGTAGCATTATTGATATGTCCTGACATCATCAACATTTCAATGTTCTGATTTAGAACTATCTTTTAAAATCTTGTGTCTTTGAAACTTATATTTCTTCACATTTTGTTTATTTTAGGCTGTTGGGAACTCTTGCTATAGAAATATTCATGTATAATTAATGATGTGCCCTGACACCATCAACTTTTCAATATTCTGATTTAGAATTATTTTTTAAGATTGTAGAGGTGTCTAAAGAAAATTCTGGCTCAGGCCAGCTGGATGCAAAAATCTCTCAAGATATTTCCCATGGAGCTCCACTAGTATCTGGTGGAGACATTGGACGTGGTGGTTCTAAAAGTACCCCTGAGCGGAGAACAAGGAGAGCACCTAGCAAGGCAACAGGTAAACCGAGTGCTAAAAAGGGAAGTATGAAAGCAACAACTCCTGTGAGACAATCAGAAAGAGGGGACAAATCAATCAGTGTGTCCCAGAACCAATCAGGAATCTTCCAGCTTGTGCAACCTAGTGAGACGCAGCCCTATGGGCATGTGGATGGTTCAATAAAGCCTTATTCTGTTCTTACTACTTCAACATCTAGTCTGCCAGATCTGAATACTTCTGCTCCACAATCTGTAATATTTCAACAGCCATTCACCGACTTGCAGCAAGTGCAATTACGTGCTCAGATCTTTGTTTATGGAGCTTTGATGTGAGTCACTTACTGTATATGTTTTTACTAATTGTTTCTTTTTGGGCTTTAGTTAAAATTTATTGACATAAGCAGATTTACTAAAATGAAGAATGGCAGGTGCTCTTGAGACTACTTAATTGAAAAAGATTAGTTTTCAATTTGGATTAGAGACATAGAGAAAGAGATAAATTTTGAACTGCAATAGTGTATATATTGGTAAGAAAAGTAAAGGAGGAGTGTTTTGATACTTGTGCATTTGTTTTGAGGACATCATTATGGCATGAATAGCATGCTCCATATTTTTTTTTTAAAGAACAGAACATGATCATTAGGGACCACTGAATCTAATCAGGTTTTGATCATAAATGGAACTATCATCAATTTATGGGATCAGTGCATTTATACCAAATCTTGAAAGCATTAGAGTGATCATTCTTGATTTTACTGAGAAGGGAGATAATTGCCATTTCGAGACAGTGAATGAAACATGCTTTTCTTTTTCTTTCTTTTTATTTTCCATTTCTTGTGCAGTCAAGGGATAGCACCTGAAGAAGCATATATGGTGTCAGCATTTGGGGGACCTGGTTAGTTTTTTGTCCATTTTATATCTATTAATAATCGTTACAAATGTGTAATAACTTAAAGCCCTTTTTTGGTCAGATGGTGGACGGGGCATGTGGGAGAATGCCTGGCGTGTCTGCATAGAGAGGCTACATGGTCAAAAATCTACTCCAATTAATCCAGAAACCCCATTGCAATCACGTTCCGGTACTTTTTGTTTTCTTTATAAGCAGTTTGATTCTCTCTTGATTTGATTATATGTGTAACTGTGCTTCAGAATTGAGATTTACAGGTTCTAGGGCTTCTGATCAAGTAATTAAACAAGGTGCATTACACAATAAAGGTCTTTCCTCACCTGTTGGTCGAGCCAGCACGAAGGGTACTCCACAAACAGCAAGCCCAATGATACCTATTTCATCACCACTTTGGAGTATTTCTACCCCTGTTTGTGAGGGCCTGCAATATAGTGTGATTCCGAGAGGCTCAGTTATGGATTATCAGCAGGGATTTAATCCATTACATCCTTTTCAAACACCATCTGTAAAGAACCTTGTTGGCCATAATACTACATGGATGCCTCAGTCCTCTTTCCGGGGTCCCTGGCTTCCTTCTCCACAGTCTTCAGCTGAAGCTAGTATGCATTTTTCAGCATTTCCTAGCACGGAGGCAGTGCAGTTGACTCCTATAAAAGAAGTATCTTTGCCACAATTGCCTACTGTAAAACATGTTCCTTCTGGTCCTTCTGCTCAGACTGGGGGTCCAATCAGTGCTTTTGCAGGGCCTTCTCCACTGCTTGACCCAAAGAAGGTGTCAGCATCACCTGGCCAGCATTCTGCTGATCCAAAGCCTAGAAAAAGAAAGAAGATTTCACCGTCTGAGGAACTTGGTCAGATTAGTTTGCAAGCTGAATCTCAACCTGAGTCAGCTTTAACAGTTGCTGTTGTTAGTAGTACTACCCCAAGTACCCTTTCGTCTAAGGCCATGCCAGAGAAATTGATTATGTCTCTGCCTGCTATGTCTTCCTCTGATCAACTCAAAAAAGCAGATCTGGATTTGGAGCAGAGGGCAACTTTATCAGAGGAGACGCTTACTAAAGTTAAGGAGGCTAGGCAACAGGCAGAGGAAGCTTCTTCTCTTGCTGCTGCAGCTGTTAGTCACAGCCAAGCAATATGGAATCAGTTGGAGAAGCAAAAGAACTCCAAATTGATATCAGATGGTGAAGCTAAGTTAGCTTCTGCTGCTGTAGCTGTAGCTGCTGCTGCTGCTGTTGCAAAGGCAGCAGCTGCAGCTGCCAATGTTGCATCAAATGCTGCATTGCAAGCAAAATTGATGGCTGAAGAAGCCTTGGATAATTATGAGAATCCAAGCCAAAGTATGAGAATGGCTACTCCTGTGTCCATTTTAAGAGGTGAGGATGGAACAAACAGTTCAAGTTCGATCCTTGTTGCTGCCAGGGAGGCTGCTAGGAGGAAGGTTGTAGCTGCATCTGCAGCCTCAAAGCGAGCTGAAAATTTGGATGCCATTGTAAAAGCTGCTGAGCTGGCCGCAGAAGCTGTTTCACAAGCTGGAACAATTGTTGCGATGGGTGATCCTTTGCCATTGAGTGAGTTAGCAGAAGCTGGTCCAGAGGGTTATTGGAAAGTACCCCAAGTTTCTTCAGAGCTCGTTACAAAATCAAATGACGTGATGAGAGAACAATCAAATGTAGGTACTGTTGAAGAAGATGCTGGTACATCTGCTAGGCATTCTAAAGATCGACAATCAGATAAGAAAGAAGCGCAGCCAACACATGAGAAGTTGCCTATTCCAATAGAGGTAAATAGGGAATCAACAGAGGATCATTTGAGATCGGTAGTTGGCTTCTCGGGCTTCGATATAGTCAACGAAAAAGGGTCAAAAGGACCAAAAGGCCGCAAAGTTTCTGAGATCGGATCAAAGTCTGCTTTGATGACTGTTGAGAATGATTTTGAAAAAGAAGAACACGCATCTGAAGAAAGTGGCATCAAGGAGGGTTCTCTAGTAGAGGTATGAAGCTGAGGTGTATCTGATATGTTTTACTATATGTAGTTTTCGAAACTTTTTAAATTAGCTTTTTTCTTAACCTTTTTAGCTGCTCACTGGTGCATCTTGCTTGTGAAGCTTGGAATTGCTATGTATTATATGGGCATAATATATTATTCACTTGGTTTCTCTCTAGGTTCTCAAAGATGGGGGTGGATTTGGAGCAGCCTGGTTCACAGCTAATGTATTGAGTTTGCAGGATGGTAAAGCTTGTGTGTGTTACACTGAGCTTCAGTCAGATGAAGGTATACCACCGTTAATCCTGTTAGAAGCAGACAATCACGCCTTTGCCTCATGCCCTGTTTCCTTTAAAAGAATGTTTTTCCCTCATGTTATAAATTCCTGGTCACTACTTTTAATTAGGATCTGGTGTAGTTGTATTTGATACTTGCATTGGAACCTTGCTACTCATATGATTCATAATGAGAACTCTTTGTAAAGATATTATGCCTGCGCACCTTGTTTGCTTAATGTATGTTTAATTTCTCATCTATATAGGCTCAGGGAAACTACAGGAATGGGTGGCACTTGAAGGCGAAGAAGATAAGCCACCGAAAATTCGCATTGCCCGCCCTGTTACCGCTTTGGGATTTGAAGGAACGAGGAAAAGGCGCAGAGCAGCGATGGCAGATTATGCTTGGTCTGTTGGAGATAAAGTTGATGCATGGATACAGGACAGGTGAGCACAAGTTAATTATGTTAAAAGGTGATTGGTTTTTTTTGGGGAGAATCTTGCTGGAGAGATATTTGTATAGGAAGATAAATATAACTATTGCCTGCAATCGCCTACATTTATCTGTATCTTTCATCACTATCTCAACCATGCCTAGTCTTGGGTGTTGAAGCATGTTGGCAGTGTTGGTATATTAGATATCCATGCACTACGGTGATTATAAACTTGCATCAGGTCTTCCTATTTTACTTAATGGCAACTTTGATTTTGATGCTGTTCTTCTGTCCAATTTCCACATTGAGTTTGTGGAGTTTTCCTTGATTTCTTAGCCATCAGTATGCTTTAACTCCTCTCATGTGTATTGAATTATGTTTTCAGCTGGTGGGAAGGAGTTGTCACTGAGAAAAACAAGAAAGATGAAACTATATTAACTGTCCACTTTCCAGGTTTGTATGGATCATTTTGTCTTTTTGTGGGTGGGGGGGTGCTCTTATTAAGGCCCCAACATGTAAATGCTTCCCATTGTATTGTGCAAAAGTTGCTGTTTCTTAATGCGGGATTCTCTGGTTATTAATTCTTACAGCCCAAGGGGAAAAGTCAGTTGTTAAAGCTTGGCATCTTCGGCCTTCTCTCATTTGGAAGGATGGGGAATGGGTTGAATGGTTCAGTGTACGAAATGACTGCGCTTCCCATGAGGTACTATTTTTATATCATTTAATGCTTGATTTTGTCTGGTTCCTAGAACTTCTCAATTGAATTTATTTTATTTTACTGAAGTCCAAATTTGTTGTTCAGGGTGACATGCCCCAGGAAAAGCGACCCAAATTGGGCAGTCCTGCAGTGGAAGGCAAAGGGAAGGATAAGACATCAAAAAGCATTGATATTGTAGATTCAGGGAAACCTGAAGAGCTAAGGTCACTGAATTTATCTGCAAATGAAAAGGTATTTAATATGGGTAAGAATACCAGAACTGAGAACAAGCCTGATCCAACCCGAACAATTCGGACTGGGTTGCAGAAGGAAGGAGCCAAGGTGGTTTATGGTATTCCCAAGCCTGGAAAGAAAAGAAAATTTATGGAAGTTAGCAAACATTATGTGGCAAATCAGAGTACTAAGATTAACGAAACTAATGATTCAATGAAATTTGCGAAGTACTTGATGCCTCAAGGATCGGGTTCCCGTGGATTGAAAAATACATCTAAAATTGACACAAGGGAAAAGCAGGTGACTGAATCCAAGCTGAAGGGTCTTAAATCTGTAAAGCCGCAAGGTGTGCCAAGTAAATCTGTTCCACAGAAGGACCACCTCTTAACAGATGCACGTACTGTCTCTGATGGTTCAAGTGAAATGGACCATACAGGAAAGATCAAGGATTCTGTAAGCCGTGTTGACAGTGTATCTGGAAAGCATACCCTATCACAACCAGAGGGCCCAATCGTATTTTCTTCACTAGCTCCCTCATCTGATTTTCCTTCCTCCAAGAAAGTGTCCGCATCAACTGCTAAATCTCGGTCAAACAAAGGAAACCTTGCACCTGCTGGTGCAAAGTTGGGTAAAATTGAGGAGGGAAAAGTGTTCAGTGGTAATCCTGCAAAGTCGACTTCTGAAGTTGCTGAGCCTCGTAGATCGAATCGCAGAATTCAGCCGACATCAAGAGTAAGAATTTAGATATATTTTGGTCTTGTTTTGCATATAGATGTCGTTCGTTCTTTTCATATTATGACATTGTGGTGAACTATTCTGATGTTTTGTCTCTTGATTTTTGGGTGCTTAGCTTGGTTCTATACTATTTTGGTGTGAATTCGGTGATGTTAGTCACTTGTATAGGGTGTTTTTTGAAGTTAATGTGTGCGGTGTTCATTGCAGTCTAGGTTTTTAGAATTATATCCCGACATCTCTTTCTTTGAATTTTTTTTTATTGTTGTGGTCCTCGTATTATTCACATTAAATATTTTTGCAATTTCAGGTACAGATTTATCTAATTTTCTTTACTCATTTGCTAACCATGTAGAATCGGAAACTTTCCTCTTTCATGATAGTTCCCTTGCTCGTGTTTGAATGCAATGTAAACATTCTCTTTTTCTATAATCTAAGCCTTGTGTTGTTGACATTGCTGGCCGCAGCTATTAGAAGGACTGCAAAGCTCGTTGATCATCACAAAGATTCCTTCTGGTTCACATGACAAAGGTCACCGAAGTCAGAACCGGAATGCTCCTAGAGGTTAATTATTAACCCCAGCGTTTATTTTCTTTGGGAACATTTTGCAGGACATGTTTATTGTTTATGTGAACGCAATTGTGTTATCTGACAGTTAGACTGTGACAGGGAATAACAACGGTTGAAAGAGCTCTACTGATGATGGGTTCCAGTCCAAGGAACGTCAATTATTGGACGGCGTGGCCGACATGCCCAGCGTAGTTTGTGTATATTTATGATAGAGGAGGATAAGCGTAGGGGTGGAAATTCTTGCTTCCTTGGTTTCAGTCAGTCATAAAAGTGTAGAATCAGTAGATGTTCATAGTGATTTTAGTTTTCTTTCACAATTTGTGGTTTCCCCTGGTAGGTGGATGTCGCCCAGATAGGTTGTATATGGACATTGTCCATGTAGTTTGTGGCTTGTAGTGCAAGGAAGGCTTTCAGAAGATTAATCATATAACCTGTTGCTGTTTTACCCATTTTAATGTTATGGATAAATCCTTTTCATAAATTGGTGGTTGCAATTTTTTTCCTTCCAGTTTGGTCGTCTCCTGTCCGTCTACCACCATTACCGTGGCCACATCGCCGCCACCACCACTATTATCACTCATTTATTGATTCAAACCTCACTCATTTAGGTTTTAGCTGAAAAAAAAAATTTCACTTTTGGAAAAAGCCAAAGCTTTTTCAAAAAAGACAGAAAAACCTCTAAACTTTTAAATCAAAGACATGCAAATGTAAAGGATTTCTTAGGAAATCCAAAAATAAATAAGGGCAATTTTGTCCATTTTGGCTTCTTTTACAAATTTTCTCTCTCCTTTGTGTTTTTTCAAAGTCTCCCCTTAATAGGTTGGATAAGCAAGAAATTATACATTTTGGAATTTTATTTCTTTTGTTTTTCATAATTTAGAGATTTCTTGATACACAAATCGATTCTCTTGCTAGTCCAAATCGGAGCTGAAGCTTATTACTAATTATATCGTCTTACACTCGTGAAAAGATTGCTTAGGAATTGGAAACGAACCCCTTGGGAGGATGAAACATGAATAATATTGTTTTCCATGTGTGATAACTTTTACACGTGACATAGCGTTATTGGCCAGGCATAATAAAATAGTTATCGATGTTGCAGGAAGATGCAATTTCTACTCGCATCGCAACTTGTACGGATATTTAGTCCATCTACTCTACTTGGCCTTGGGACTAATTCTCTACTGTTGGGTGCATTTTTGCTCATAATCCTAAACCACGGTGTAGCATCACCCCCCCTCCTCCAATACACGCCTGCCATATGTAATATTGAGAGAAATTTCTTAATTAAAAAATAAAGAGATTTTTAGTAAAAAGCCTATTTTTGCATGATATACGATACAAATACCCATATAGAGTCTATTTGAAGAGAAGACCCAAAACTAGCTACTTTTTTTAATTGATTCTTAGTGTTAAAATTTTCTAAGAACCAAATAGAAAATGACAGGTGACTAGTTTTGGGTTTCTCTGAATAGATTCTATATGGATACTTGTATAATATATCATGTTAATATGAGCCTGTTCATAAAAAGCAAACAAATAAAATGATTCAACTCCCAAGTTTCAACAGTTCTAATTGTTCATGGTGCAAATTAGTAGTAGGGTTATTGTTCAGGGGCATTTTGGCAAACTTGCCTTTCAGCAAGTCTAAGCCCTTTTTTTTTTTGGTGTACCTGAAAGTCCTACATATCAGAAGTCAAATAAAATGTCGGAAAGTTGAAATAAAATTGTTTGCAACCAGTCAAAAAAGTTCATCACTCGTCAAAACAAGTGATTTGATGTGAAGTTAAAAGACATGGAAACTGGAAAGGAACTGGAGGCAGTGATAGCTAAAAATAAACGTGTTTACACTTGTGATCTCAAAGTGGAACCTAAAATGCAGAAGAAAAACAAAATTAAAGAAAAATAAGAACTTAACTTTTGTTAATGCAACAGATGCTGGCAGCGATGGGTTTCTACCATAGCTACAGAGTTATTTACTAGCAAAACTATTTATGAACAATTGCAGCTCATTGAACCTCTCTCCTATACATGGATTCAATTCAGTCATTCACCAACCCAACCAAAGATATTGAACAGAAACCAGACATCACCTCTGAAATGCAGTGTGCCGTGGATATAATTTTGTGCTGGCAAGATGAAAAATTTGCCATGCTAAGGAAGCGGCAAGGTCACCCCTATACCCCAATTAATTTAGATACGAAATACTTTCGACCACTAGCTTGTTGGCGTCTTTTTTAGTTTGCTTCATTTCTTCAACCCCTTAGTCTGCGAAAATTTCATCATCCTCATTATCTCCTACAGATATACGGTCCTTCCCAATTTTCCTCTTCATTGACATATGTCGTGCCTTCTCACCTGGATTCTCTACACTGAATGTACTTTTGGTTTTTCCTGCTGTGAGAAGATTTCCATCATTGCTTTTTGCAATATCTTTGAATGGTTTCTCGCAGACACAAGTCTCTGGAAATTCATGAAACTCGCCCCGACCAGGTTTCATCTCGTCGGGGTCACCCATGAATCCTTTTTGGCATGACTTCACTTTTTTTGCAAATGTGTCCCAGTCCATCTGATCCCTTGCCATGAACAAAGCACTGAGCCTCTTAGCATTTGGCCTGATGGTCCTCTTATGACCCATATACCTCCTACCAATGATGAAACAAATGCAGTAACATATGGTTAATAAATAACTCAGAAAAAGGAAAGAATTCAATTAAATAAGCAGAAACAACTAGTAAAAATAGTTATACAACAATATCCATGATACCAAACTATATCGAAGAATTTTCTGAGATCTATAGATTAAACATGAAGGTTCTCTCAATGAGGTTTTCAGTTGGGATAAATCTCCTTGTCATCAATGGATGTCAACCCAAGGTTATTCATCTGGGAAGTCAATTGAACAAATATACACTAGACCACTAGCCAATATTAAAAGTTTACCTGGGGAGAGCAAGATCTTACAATCTGTAAGATTTGTTAACCATTTACTATATAAATCATTTGTAATCTTGTATGCGTTTGAGCCTGGCTTAATAATTTCTATAGCTCCACTTGCCGCAGTTGGAATGATTTCAGTATTGAAAGGTTTTAATAGTATATACTAGTACTCAATTTAAGTATAGGAAACTGCCGAATTTCGGCATAATCTAGCCTAAGTCTAAATTTTGGGGAACTACAGGAAAAATCATAATTCACACTAATACCTACAGATTTGCAAATCTATCCCCTGCTTGCTTCTGAACCAGAAAGTGGAATCTAGTCGTGAGATTCTTTAGTGTACCTCATCTTAGTTGACTTCCACAATATAACTTTCTACTGAGAGCTACTACAGTAAAGATGAAAGTAAAACGCAATAAAATCAAAAGCACCAGACTGGATGATGAACAGCTCTAAGTTCGTCTCCAAACACATCTTTCACAGCCAATTGTAGGATTAGAATCCTATATCTAACAGAATCTAGTTTCAACAGGAAAGGACAATAAATTTTATAGTGCAAGTGATCGGGAGTTACATAGACATCCAAATGGCGAAGTACATCATGTGGGACGGTTAATGAAAGATTCATAAGATGTGTCAAAGCACTTGAAATCTTTATAATAAAAATATCAAATTAAAAGGCAGTGCATTTGTTTATTTGGATTTTTCAAATTCTATCGCTTGTGCTTGGGCAAAATTCTCAACTGTAGTTGAACACTGTCATACTTTGTTAGGTTTCTTGAAAGGGTAATAATTACTGCACCGGCATTCTTCAGAAACCAAATTTAGACACTATTAACTGATCCATAACTTTTCTTTGGAGATAAATATGATTTGACAAATGCATTAGCTCAACCCAGAAAAAGACTGATGAAAAAGTGAACTCGATTTCTAACCTTCGACCTGCGAGAATCTTGGCCATATTCCCGTTATTATTAGTGACAAACACATCACTTTCATCAGAGACAATGTAGTCAATTGCAGCAAGACGGGAGGAGAATGGAAGAAAAGGTTTCAGCTCCTCATTAGCAAGCATCTCCTTTGTATAGAAATTTGGGAAGAGCTCTCTTAGAGGTCTCAAAGTCTCATCCCCGCCATATATTTCACCAGAAGCAACATAGAGATATGTGTCATTTGCAAAACCAAGTGCACGTAGCATCAAACCCACTTCATGAGGAGTCAGTGGACATTTTCCTCGCTTTCGCTCTTCCTCAGCATTTAAATCCTAAATGGATAATAAGAAAAAATTACACTGGTAGTCAAATTATAGCATATGGAGCCAACTGTACAATTATCACAAGCATTGTACAATGTCAATTATATATTGATAATTGCACTGCAATCACATGAGCTTTGTATAACTACAAAAGCATATCTTGTTAGGAATCAACTCATAAGAGCAAACAGTTACTAACATAATTCTTGTTGAGTTGAATATGAATAAATATCGTTCCATCTAAATTATAAAAGAATAGCAATCTCACAGGTAATGTCGCCCATCGTTTTCTTATTTCAGCAAACTCATATCTCTCTTTATCACCCCCGCCATAATAACACCCAGAAAATGCTAGCATATCAGGTTCAAACCTGTCATCCAAAATCCATAACAACAGAAATTGAATGATATGTATCAGGAAAAGATAGCAGTTCTTTAAGAAGAAAATAGGTTTTGCATTCCCAAAGAGGTGGCTTTACCATTCCCATCTCCGGTTTTTAACTATATAATAATTTATGATGGTGATTGTAATATTTCAAAACATAGATAATATATATATTCATTGGTGTCCCGATGACACCATTTCCATTCCCAGCATTTTGAGACACTAGAGTGAATGGTGCACTCCAAGAAATTCTAGAAATCCCATTCAAAGAAATGGGCATGAGATTCCTACAATTCCAATCCGCAAAACAAACACTATCTTAAAGATCTTGTAAGCAGAGGTGGCCTATACTCTCACTCCTAGCTTCGTTGACTTAAATGTGTGGGTAGCTTTCCAGCAAAACCTAAAGGGTGTTTCCAAATATGACAAACTACACTGTATAAGTTCTTAATTGTGATATACCATGGCCATTTGCCAAGGTTTCAATAGGCAAATCTGAAGATCAACCAGTTTGATATGTTCTTATATCAGGGAATTTAAAAAAGAAAAAGAAACGTTTGTAGATAGTGATAGTCCACCAGGCACAAACTCACACAAATCTTGCCAACTCAGTACAAATCAATGGTTAGTTGGGATCAATCTCTACTAACTAAAATGCTGGAAATTGGTAAACCTCCACCAGCATAGTTGAGAACGAAGCAGAAAGTGCATGAAACCCAGAAACTCCTAGTTCTCATGTTCTCTACTACTCTGCTCCAGGTTTACATGTATTGATCCAGAGCAACACCCAAACAATCAACCCAACAGAAGTTCACAAAGTCGCAATTATCATCTTTTGTCCGCACAGTTGTCCAACCAGAGGCAACTGCCTACTGAGGAAAGCAATCCTTATCCTCAGACACATGCTAATCTATTTACTTTCTAGCAACCCAGTGAACATACTGCATAACCAAGATAATATAAACATCCTTACACATCCAAATGGAAAAGAAAAGGAAAAAATATACATTGAGTGTAGAACGCAGCTGGAACAAGTATGTGCTCTGTATAGAGTTTTATCCTCCATGAACATTACATGCAGGTTGAATTTAAAATTATCAGCTATGTTCTATATTGATAGGCAATCGAAACAAACCTCAAGTGAACAGCAATGAAACGTTTTTCCATCCTTCGCATTCTCATAACAAGTTTCTGACCGAGTTCATGTATGGATTTTGTAAATTTAAGTGCATGATAATTAACACGACATCGCAACTTTTGCAGTTCATCGTCAAGGTTACTTGAAAGTCTATAATCAAACTTTGTCAACTGCACAACCTGCAAAATGGCTCAAGTGTTAATTGCCCTTCTGAAACGGACTACAAGATTTTACTAAAATTCATAAGTACACAACTTAGAAGGAAAAAAAACAAATCAAAATATTGGATTGTGCATATCTTTTACTGTTTTACACAATCGAATAAGATAGAATTCATCAGATATCGGCAAAGGGGTCTTACACGTCTCCTCAAAAGTATTGGGAGAACTTGCTCGATATAATATTCAGGTTCAGATTTCCTTGGGACACGCATTGTATATGGAGGTTTGTCCATGTTCCGCATGACTTTCTCAGGAACTCTCCGGACAATAGTCACATCTTTTGCAAGATAAGACATAAACCAATCGACATCAAAAATGTGGATAAAGTCACTGCATGCAAAATTAGCATATTTAATAGGTTGATAACTGGAAGAGCCAATTTTCACAACCACTAGCATGAAAACAAATTCAAAAAAGAATAACATAAAACTATAGCTGATGGGGTTAAAACATTGATAGAATCACATTACCTATCATCCTTCCAATAGGAATGATGATCCAGCTCAGGTACAACTAAAGTAGCATTAAGAATTCGAGCAACAACCACAGCATCTGTTATCTGATTGCAGGAAATAAGTTGTCATTTTTGGCAACGTGAAAACAAATAACTACTTGAGTAGAATAACAAAAATTTCAGAAAGCAAAAACCAGAACCCAAGTCTTATTTTCTTTGTTGGGTCTCACTACTCAGAGAAAAATATAAAAAAATGTAGCTGAACATGAAAACAATGTGACTTACTCCTGTTCTTTGTTGGTTCAACCCCCCACTCGTAGCAATCAGCAGATACCCATTTGATGCTCGCTCTTTTACAGCAGCTAAATTCAACATATATATACTGTACATTAAAACCACAACCATAACAATGGCAAATTCAGAATGCAAATATGAAATATGCAAATTGAACTCACGAGCATAACGAGGACCTCTTTGACTGCATCCGTAGTAGAATTTCGAGTACTTGGACTTCCAAACATCAATTGCCTCACGACCATTCCCATTCTAAACTCAAAACCGAACAAATTTTTTTTTTAATTTGAATTAAAAATGACGCCTTAAACAAAAATTAAAAATTGAAGGTTGAAGGTTGAAAAAAAAAAAAAGGGTAGACCCAGTACCAGCTTGGAGTAGTAGAGGGTGTTCTTGACCAAGCGCTGAGAGTACCACTCGAGATCAGATGCCACGTGACCAGTGAAGAGCGAAATCAGGCCCAGCCCAAACAGCATCAGCCCACACACCAACGACCACGACCACGACCACGACACCGTCTGCTTTCTCTGGCTCAGCGACGACGTCGTTTTGGTGATGGTGGTGGCGGTGGTGGCGGTGGCTGATGATTTCAAGCTGAGCACCTGCTTCTTCTCACCATTGTTGTAACCGTTATGTAACAGAGCCAGCTTCGCTGCTGCCGGTGTCAAGCTGAACCTCCACGCCTTCGCCACGCCCATCCAAAACCGCCCTCACTTTTCCAACTTATTCACTGAAAATGCCATTCGTCCTCCGATTCATGCTTCTCTGTGATCAGATTGTTCAAGTGGAGCAGGAGTGCTGTTGCGGAGAGGAAAATGGGGAAGGGAAGGGTAGCTGGTGTAAATAATGCGAATGTGTGGGGGTCGAATGTTTGCTCAATTTGGAGGGCAAACCCTAGCTAGCTAGTGCGCGGTTCGAGACAAGGATCACTGTGCAGCTTTTGAGATGTGTTGCGAGAGACAGTGGAGATCTTTAGAGAGAGAGAGAGAGAGAGAGAGAGAGAGAGAGGGAGAGAGTGCGTGTCACTGTTTATGAGGAAGAGAATGAAGCTTGTTTTGTTTTACTTCACTTCATAGTTTATTTATCACCAAGTATATTTAATAGTGGATAAGTGACGCAAATTAAAAAACAGAAAAATTAACTAAATTAAATATTCTTTCCTTTTTTTTTCTTTATTTATTTATTTATTTATTTATAAGTGAAGCATGTGTTTTGATGAATAATTTATACGGAAAAAGAGCAGATAGAAAAATCACAAGATAGAATTTTACATGGGCAAAATTGGAATAATGGAATTTAAAAAGGGTAAAATGGGAATATGAAAATTAATAGGTGTATTGAAGCATGATGAATTATTGGATCCATGTATGGTGAAAGGGGGAGGAGGGTCAAGTGATGAAATGAATACATGTTGACCTAAAAAGAGAGGTCTATGATTAAGATATGATTTAATTTAAGTGTCTAACTTGATTAGGGTTGTTTAATTATTTAATTACATTAATCTTTGTCATGTTGGTTTGCTTTTATTGTGTTTTTAGGGTTCCTTTTTCTTCATCACCAAATTCTAAATTGAGGCATGCCCTAAATGCACTCTTTCTCCTATGGGTGTGTGTGTGTTGCTTGCAAGGCTCATATGCTTGAGAAACAAAACAAAGCATGTTCCATGTGGGCTTGCTAACTTTGTTAAAGGGGAAGTTAAAAGAATGTTAAAAGAGCTTCGGGACCAGTCAGTCTGAACTTTCAATTTTTCACCCAAAAAAAAAAAAGGATGTCAAAAGAAAGCGAGAAACAACATCCTTTTTGAAAGAAAGCGATATGTCTATCTATAACATAAGCAACAACACATGTAGTATTTCAAGATACTTACTACTTAGTATTTTGATAAGTCAATTACCAACGTTTTTAACCATTGAGTTAAGATTCTTTTACTTAACATGATTAAAAAAAAAATAGAGTTTGTAAGAAGATGGGACATATATTTATCATTTTCATCGACCATTTAGAACATGGTAAATTATTTATGTATAATACTTGGTAATAACTTTATTAATTTAGTAACTTAAGGTGTTTAAGCATTTCTAGTGATATATCCATAAATTTGTCTTGTGGGGTGGAAAAAAACAATCTATTTTTTTCTTTTTCTGAAAGAAATGCAATAGATTGCATTTATAATTTAGGCCTAAAGGTTGTCAGTCACAAGGACCAATACATATACAAATAATCACATAGGATTAATAAAAATAGGGAAGCATAGTAAACCACAAGGGGTTAATCCAAATATGGAGGAGTCCACCAGCAACAACAAGCACCCAAGGTGTACCTCTACTCTTAGTCACACATGGCCTAAGAAATTCCAACAAAAAAGCTATAAGCTTGGAAAAACCATACATATATCTCATTGCACCAAACTACAACTACAACTACAATATTTTAACTCTCGCAAGTGAAAAATACAAGTAGAGACTAGAAACATGTAACAAACTCATAAAGAGTTGATGCACTTATTACAACTCAAAAAACTGCAACACAAAAAAAGTATTTTAAAAAAAATCGACCTACCACCACGTTGTCACCAAGACAGCCAAGGTGGATGGGTTTGAGGGGATGGGCAAGGAGCAGAATAGGGGAGGCATGGAGGCCACCTATCCTTTTGACAACCATCAATGGAATGTGTATTAGCAAGGAAAATGGTGGTCCAAGATTTTCCTCCAAACACCAAAGTTGAGCCACACACAAGGTTTGGTTTGAGCATCAAGTCTTAAACTTTTAGGGGCACCGAAAAGTGCATCATAAGTCATTAACAGCACTATAGCGACCGCTAAAAATTGTTCTTTGAGAAGTGACACAGTGTCCCTAGCCACCTATCCTTCTCTAAAATTTATTCCTTCATCAAAAGAAGCAAATTAAAATGTCTTTTTTGGGGTGAATCGATGGGTTTTTTGCTTAGAAATACATCCTGGAGTTGGACCCATAACACGGATGATGGTTAATGATGACATTAGATTAAGAAACCAATATCTTCATTATGTTGTTGAAAGCGATTGACTGAACATGTAATATGAAAATTACAAGTATCCCTTGTTTGAGAGACATTGTGGGGTTCACTCCACATTCTGTTTTAATATAATCAATACTGTATATTTTTTAAGTCTTCATTCATTAATCATCGATTTTTGAGAAAAATTATGCAAATCGAAAACCGTTAAGGCATGTAATTGTGATGGAACAAAATAGACTGATAATTTTTTTTTTTTCTTTCAAGAAAGGTTAAAATGACTACATTCTAATCAAATAGTCATCAATTACAATTTTGTTGATAGGATATATGAATTAAGACTTGAAAGTTAAACTATCGAATCATTGATATACAATGCAAAGTGGGTCCTACAAAGATAAAGGATCATTTAATTGAAACTCCCTCCTTAGTAGCTAAACTCTTTTAAAAAAATATTACTTATGATAAATATGTATTATCAATAACCATTTAGTTTAGTGACATTCAGTCTTCTCGTACATTACATTTTATTCACATTTTAGGGATGATAATTGCTAAATTATACATGAGGCACCGGATCAAGGCACACGTGATGAGATGAAGATTTTTCTTCTTGCCCTTGATTGTGTTGATTAATTATTATATTTGTTGCATGTTGGTTTGGTGACTTGCATGCAAAACTTATGTATATTTTAACAAAAACCCAAGAAATCCACGCATTACGTGGAGTAGATAGATAGATGGGTGTTGAAATTTATGAGACATGAGATGAAGCCGTTAAGCAACATGCTGGCTGCATTTATGGACCAACATGATATTAGCTGATGCTCATCTTCCTTAATTGAGTTGGGTTGACCTTGTCAATTATTCCGTAATTATAATTACGGATTTGTGAGTGTGAGTCCGTGAGTCCGTGAGACATCGCGTTGTCATCAAAGTCGCGGTCAAACTTCTGAGCATGTGCATATCCTACGCACACATATTTTGCCAATTGGCACTCCTTAATTCCAACTCAAATCCACAAATTTAGACTATTATTATTATTAGTATTATTAAATACAAATGATAGATTCGAACTAGGTACATTTTTCAAGATTCGACATTAGAAAGATAACTTGACATGATATTAACAGTTCAAATTTAGGACTTACTTTGGTGTCATGGTCATTTTAGATAGAAGTGTAGTACTGTAAGTCGAACTAGAGTTCACGTGCACAGTTAAATGCTCTTAAACAACTTGAGTTACAAGCCATTGCAATGAAGGTTTAATTATAAGAAAGTGTGTTAGTTCAAAGAGAAATTAATTAGAACAAGTAGTGCCTGGCCGGCTAGATTAAAGCAAAAAGGTGTTAGGTGCCAGATTAATAGAGCCATGGCTATGGACATACAGGTAGGGGTGGTTGCGGTTCGGTAATCGCGAATTTTTACTCAAACCGCAAACCGACCGACTATTTGCGGTTTGGTGATTTTTGAAACCGCAAACCGATCTCATCAACTTCTCAAGCATTCACAACCTAAGAAAATTAAAGTTACAATTCCAAGCATTCCAATTAAAGTTAAACTTCTCAAGCATTCCAATTCCAAATTCTTTAAAGTTACAAACGAAAAGGAAAATGCAAAGCAAAATGAATTAAAGTTACAACCAAAAAGAAAAATTCAATTTAAAGTTAATTAAAGTTACAAACTAAAAGGAAAATGTAATGCACCAATGTTACAAACTAAAGTTACAAACTCAAGTGTTGGTGGTGAGTGGATTTGAAGAACCCCGTTGTGTTGTTTGAGTACCAATGTTATTTACAAATAAAACAACATAGTGTAGTACATTTTATTATAAGAAGAAGCATAAATAACATTAGTATAAATAAACTAATTACTTACAAGTTGTCATATGTTCCATTTCCTTGTAAAATTCAACTTCATCATCCGTGTGGCTATACTTTGCGGTTTGCGGTAACCGCAAGTTTTGAAAATCAAATACCGCAACCGCAACCGCAATGCGGTTCGGTTCTTAATACCGCAAATGCGGTTCGGTTTACCGCGATTGCGGTTTCATTGCGGTAAATTGTCGGTTGGTTTTTGCGGTTTTTCGGTTTTTCGGTTTAAAATGTCACCCCTACATACAGGTATCACCAAAATGGTGCCCATCTATATAATTATATAGTGGCGGGCCCCAGCTTTGAACAATCATTTATTATTTATGCATTTTCTCTGTTCGTACTTGTCCCTTTCATTTAAAGCTTCTTGCATAGCAGCCATTAAAGCGCAGAGCAATGTAGCTTCTGGAGAGAAGCAAGAACGAGTGAAGGGCCTTTCATTCATTCCTATACAAAGCCAGTACTGGTCACGTGATATCACGTGACAGGTGGGTTCTCCATGCTCGATTTGTATACGCATAATGCATTTCATATCAATTGCTTGGAACAATTCTGGACGTCTGGCTGGCTTCTACACAAGAAGAATATACGGTGAATGTTCTATTGGACTTAGCCCAAATGTGATAGAAGGTCCAACTTCTAATTATTGGCAAACATAATTGTACTCTTTTTTGGAGTAACGTAATGTTCTCTCGTTAGATTTATGTAAGTTGTGAATTTGTAAATCTAAATCATACGTATATTTTTGGTACAAATTTAAACTAATTAATGAAATAGATTCACGTTCAATCTTATGCTGAACAGTATGATACGAGAACATTTCATTGTTTATTGAACACGTTATGTTCGTATATTTATTTGGTCACAATTAGATAATTAAATATCATTGGATTTGAATTGGCAAAAACAAGTGGTCAACATAAATTGGTACTGTAAGCTCACAAGTGGAAATTGGTTCATTTGTGGAAGGAACACTCAGCTTAGAGATTGGTACTTTGAAGTTTAAAATTGGTACTTTTGGATTTGGGGGTAATGATCTACCTTGGCCTTCATTAGTCTAAACATCATGATGATTAGAAGACCCTTTTAAGACTTTACCTTTAGAGTCTTGGTGCTGATCATCGTTCATAGTGCTTTAATTACTCAAAACCCTAATCATTGCTTAATTTAATTTCAACCTCTAA